AAAAGCTACACAACACTGCGCCGCAATGAGCCTGCAGGGAGAAACTGGTTTCCCTTGAGTTTGTTTATTGCTACATCTCATATATTCTGATGCTTTAGCGCTGCTGATGCAGGCGGGGACGCTCCGTGCTTTCCCCTGTCAAACTTTTAGGCTTATGCATGTTGCAGACGAGGCACTACAAGCCGGTTGTCTTCCGACAGTCATCGCCCACGCGGTATTCCGCATCGTGATTCACTCGAACGTCTACAACCCGCTGCATCTGTTGAGCACGGTTGTAATACCGACAAAACACCTGCGAGTCACAGAAGTGGTTGGTTTGTGTGTGCCGGCGCACAGCTGCCGTTGAGCTGGTGCCAACGTGCGTGGCAAGGGTTCTTACAAACCACCTTTGTAAGCTGTCTCGCTGAAATGTTCAGTAACTCACTCTCGAAGGTTTTACATCTAAAAAAAATCCATTTACCGTGTCCAACCTCTCTCGACGCAGTATTTGCTGCTTTTCTCAGTTTTATGTAATTAGAAGCAAAATGTTTGTGCAGGACTGTATTGAATATTAACATAAAGACACCATACTGTGACATTTTATTGATTCATAATGGCAATAGATTCAGAAAGGAATTCTCAACAGAAGCCCCTCCATGAAGAGTACAGTAAAGCCTTTGCATGATGCGTTTTACACGCAGCGCGGCGTAGCCGAGCAGCATGTCGCCCGTGCTCGGATGGGACGCGTGGCTGTCGGTGTTCACTCCTCTGATACGACTGAACGCATCAAAGTTTGGTGTAAATCCGAGCCCTCTTTTCCCTCTCCATCTCCAGAGGGGCTTTTCACAAAGCAGGATTAGGAAGTTAGCCAGATAACTTTAAAAAAGTACTTTGTATTTAAGCAATTCTCCGTCTGCACTGCTGAATGGTATTTTCAACCCACCTACTATTGAGATGTAGTTTTATAGATTCATATCAGTATCACCAGGAGAACAGAGTAACCTTCTACAGATATGTGGGCAGCTTTCCTACAAGGGCTCAGGAATCCTTAAATTAGTTTTTCCTAAACCAGCCGATACCTCCACCTCCTCATCTCATCCCTCTCTTCCTCTTCATGCTCTCTTTCATCCCTCTTCTCCCACTTGTGTCACTCTGTTGTGTGACTCCCCTCTAATCCCCCACCCCCTCTGTCGCCTCCCACACACACACACTTTCAGTTGGCTCTCCCCCATGTCCTCCTCCCTCCTCCCCCCAAAACCATCCCTCCGTCTGTCTCCGGCGGTTGCCGTGGTTACAGTTTGCTCTGCTCATCAGGCGCCCGCTGTGCCTAAACAGACTGTCAACAGTTTAATTACTCATCCTTTCATCCCTCTATCTATCCATGCCCGTGCACTATACGCTTGCGCTTGTTGCCTCCACCTCTCAGTCCGCTCCTCCCCTCCGTGACAAACTCTTTATCTCTCCTTTCATCTTTTTCTTCCTCTCATCCTCATTCCTCTCCCGTCCCGTCTTTTCCTCCCATGTCTGACTACTGACTGTCTAATTACTCACCCTTTTCAACATTCCACCGGGTTGCAGTTTTATTCCATTCATTCATCCATCTCTCTATCCGACAGCGTGCCACCGCTTTATTAGCATAGTTTTCTCTTTCAGACAGTTATTCCTCTATTCCCTCATCCCCCCCCCTCTTATCATCAACCTCTCAAGTGTCATCGCTCGGCTTTTCATTCTTCATTAGTCAGTCTCTCTCCATCCTCTTGAGTGTTCCTCCCTATCTTAAGCAGCCAGTCTTGTAATTACTCCTCCTCATCACGCTATCGTTCCATACCTCTCTTTCCATCACCCACCATTCGGTTCCTCAGCTGTTGACAGCGGGCTGATGGCTCATCCTTTTTCGCTTCCCTCCCTCCGCCATTTGTCATCCGCCCATCAAATGCCACCTTTCTGACAGTGGGCCACGTCTACCTTGTTTCTGGGTTTCAAATCTTGTGCTTCCCCTGGTTTGAGAATCGGAAGGGTGCGTGACGTCCTACATCTATCACTGCTTTGATGTCTTTTCATGTGTCTTTCTTCCTCTTGTTTCATTCACCCGCAGTCCCTGCAGCTATTGCCCTCGGGATTTGGTTGGTCACTATTTTCTGAACACTTCATAAATCGGCCTCTCTCATTTGTTCATTTTAACTTTTAATTCCTGAACTGGTGTTCGCTAAACCCCTGCCAAGTACTCTGCATCTTTTAGAGTTTACATGATGTTTTCCTTCTTTTTAACCCAAGAGGAAAAGTTGATTAATGGATTACGTTTGTCTGTTCTAACGTAAGATGGAAAAATTAGTTTGTCAGACTAACTAGCTCATTATGGTAGCAACCAGCATCACCTCCAAGGCCAGCAGCATTACGTAACGCATTGTTTTGCGGTGTACAAAGAAGCCGGGCCTGGATGCCACGATGTCATACTTTAGAGTCACAGTAGCGGCTCTGTCCTGCTCTGCGTTCGCAAAACACATTGGGCTCGTCCTTAATCCTGAACGCCTTTTTCTCTTGTAGTGTTTAAAAATGAAAACATACTTTTTGAAAATAGGACCCCCCCCCCCCCAACCCCCGTCCAAGTACGTAAGCTCGGCTAAGTCTTTCAGCCATGCACCATGTGTGTAGTCATCAAGTGCACATTTAAGATCCCTGCTGCAGGATTCTGTTTTTAAAACAAAGGCGGAAGCATCAAAAAGTCTGCTGAAGAGGTTGTTTTCAAGCGACTCAGGGAGCTAACGTTAGCTTAATTAGCTCATTAACAACAGCTGATGAAACCGGCCAGTGACGGCTGTGATGGCTGCAAAACCGGCGGTGGAAATGAGAAGCCTGCTTATGTCTGGAATTAAGGACCCATTATTTCCAAAGAAATTCGATGATAAATCAAAAGAGAAAGCTTAGCAACGGGTAGCAACAGCAACTGAGGAGGGAGGGGCTTAGCAGAGGGTCAACTCATTGATCTGCAATCTTTTTTACTCCCTTTCAATCAGTCATTTACTCCCTTGCCTTTTTCCCAGTCCTTCATTCACTTGCCGGTCTGCTCATGCTGGCGAGGCTCCTACTTTGAACAGTGAGCATCCCATCTGTTCGTGCGTCTTCCTCACTGTAGCCTCAGAATGACAGACACGCGTGCTAACAACGAGATGATGTAGACTAGAGGATGTTCTTTTATTCTGCCTTTTTGTTTCACTCTTTGAACCATGTGACACTCGCCTGCTCTGTATTCTTCTGACTATCACTAGCGGGAGAGTGAATCCAATTATAGAATCATGATTTGGTTAATGGAATTCAAAAGGCCTCTTTGTCGCACTTTAGAAAAAATAAGTCATTTGTTTTCTTTCAGGAATAGAGCTGCCCCTGTTCAAAGCGAGAGTCAAAACTGCTGTTAACGATCAACAGCGCTAGTAATGAGCCCTGTCTCAGTTATTTCAAAACACTTCTTGTTCATAGAAATAGTTTCTAACGGTGTATTGTTTTTAAGCTGAATCTCTCTCGTTTCCGGGCTGATTAATGTTCCTCTAAGGTAGAATTTCACTTTTCCCCTAAGTTGGGCTTCATAATTGGCATGTCTATTACATGGAAAAGCCCCATAGTACACCGTACTGCCCTTGTAGTTCTGTCTCTAAATAGCTCATTACTGGTGTTGGTGATCTTTCACAGACTGTTTGGGGTCATGTAAGACTAATTGTAGCCATTGGTGATAGTAGAAGGCTACATAACGATGGCCATCTGTCATTTCTAATTATTGCTTCCTCATCTATCTTTCTATTTTTATCTTCCTACGGTAGATCACCATTCATGTATCATCTTAGCCTCTTTCTAACCTTTATCATCTTGTCACTCATCATTCTAGATCTCTTAAAGTCTTATTGTCTATCTCACTTTTCATCTTATAATCAATCAATCCTTCAGTCTCTTATTTTCTTCTCAATGTTATTTCCTGCTCCTTTTGTAATTTCTCTCCTCCTTTCCCCAATCTATACGACTTTATTCCCCGTGTCCTCCATTCGCCTGTCTCTCGTTTTTCCTCGTCACTTGAAGAAGTCCATCACTGCGTCTCACTTCACCTCTGCAATCCCTTCATCTGACCTCTCTAAGCCCTCGGTGCCCATCAACTGTGTCGCCCTTCTCCCCTTTCCATTTCCTCCTCCCTCTTCCTCCCTCTTCCTCGCACTTTCCCCCTCCTCCCGTCTCCATTTCTTTCTCCTCGCCCTCTCATCCTCCCATATATCCACTCAGTCGGTCTGATCTCCTGTGTCAGTGTGCCAAATCTGTGTATGTGTGCGCGCTCAGCTCAGACACAGTTTACGTAAAAAGCCTCAAACGAAGGGAGGCTAGAACTATTCTTTGCTGCTGCTGCTGCATCCGCCGCCACCACACAAACACTCGCAGCCCCGGTATCCGCACACACTCTCACCGGGATGCGCACATAGACACACACACACACGCGACACGCCAGGTGAGATTACATAAAGGCGAGGTGATGAAAGCCAAGCTAAAACGCACCTCGCGAGTAATCTGATACGGGACAGCTGGCTGACACTCGCACACAGAAACACACTCGGGAAGAGAGATTCTCAGTGGAGTAGCGGTATGTAGAGCAAAAAGAAAAATGGGGACTTGGAGGTGTAGAGGGATTAGAATAGAGGGATGAGAAAAGAAAAGCATACAATGTAGGAGATTTGAGTTTGTGCGTTCTTCTCCGTGTGTAGTTTGACAGTTGCCCCCGATGTTTTGGTTGTCATGAACGCTCATCTGTTCATTATTTGTGTGTGTGTGTGTGTGTGTGTGTGTGTGTGTGTGTGTGTGTGTGTGTGTGAGTGAGAGTGAGAGAGAACACAGAGTTCTCAGTCCAGAGAATGCTGGTGTTCACCGCAATGATGTGCTAAATGATTCAGCACAAGAGAGCTAACCATGCAAACATGGATTCACCTTTACTTTCAAACGTATGCCAACAGTGTGTGTGTGTTTGTGTTTCAGAACTGCGTGGACGTTACCTTTTCCGTCTGTGCGGCTCTGTAATCCGAATCAGCTCCACATGTTATCCAGGTTTTTATGTGTGGGTGCGTTTGTGTGTGTCAGTGCTTAGCACAGATCTCGCCCCAGGTGTTCCTCCTTGTGTTGGCCCAGCAGGAGAGGGGTGTTTGGGAGGGGGGGGGGGGTGTGTGTTTGTGCTGAAACCTGTCCTACTCCCTTTCAGACACACAGGAACCCACACATCATCAAAAGGAGACTGATGTAGGTCAGTGTCAGAAAACCAGAGAGTTGCAGAAATCCCAATCCGACAATATCCTCTTAGGCTCCTATAGATGAAGAAAAACCTGGAAAATCCAGAATTACTCGCTCGATCCCGGTGTGGTACTTCCGCAATAGAGACCTCAGTGGGAGAATCCAAGAATCCACTTTGCCTGAAGTCCTATTTATGGCGTTTTGATATGATTTCCACATGGCTGTATTCAATGTCTCTCTCTGTAAGTGGAGCAGTTCAAATCGACAGAGAATAGGAATCCTGGAGTCGGCGGTGATCCTCACCTCCCCCTCCTCACCTCCTTCCCCCACCTTCTCTCGCTCCCTCTCCTTTTTGTGTTCCTCCCCCCTCACTCATACAGCTCTATCTCTTCTTATTTGTTCATCTGGCTGTCTGGCTTCCTCCCCTATTGCTTCATTCTTTCACACAGTTTTTTTTTCCCCCCATCCTCTCTCTCTTTCTCTCTCTCTCTCTCTCTCTCATCCCTGACTTCCCGGAGTGATTTCCAGGGTGTGTCACTGTCGATCACGGTGCGATCCGTTGTCTGTCCTCCCACATTGAATTAGTTGTTCATTGATGACCTTGGAGGGCGGTGCAGAGAGGGAGCTATGGTAGAGTAAGCTGGAGGGATGGCTAGAAACCTGCAAAAGAGGAGAAACATAGCGAGTGTGAAGAGAATGAACTGCCTGCGCTGTACATGTGTCCCACTAATGCCGTCTGCTCCCTCGTCGTGTGCACTCACATGAATCACACAAACATCGGATGGAGTCCATTATCACGTTTATGCCTCATCCCACCCTGACCTTCTCTTCCCCCCCAGATATCTACATCCATCCCCCTTTCCACCACTTTCGCCCGTATCGTTCACTCCTCCCAAATGGCTTTTTATACGACACCCTCCCCACCTTGCCGCCCCACTCTTTTTCTCCTCTCTGTCTCCCCGTGCCTCTCTCCCGCTCATCTGCCTGTCAAAGAGAATCAATAGTTCTGAGACCCCCTTAACGCCTCTCAGCAGGCTGAATTGTCTTTCATGCTCACACACACACACACACACACACACACACACACACACACACACACACACACTCTCAGGACCACCAAGCGCACGCACACACAGCACATTCGCGCGTGCTTGAACACACACCACCTCCATCGTTGCTGCCACCACACACACACACACACATCCATTAAGTAGTCATGCAGTGATACTCTCCTGCAAGCACACACAGCCTGTGCATCCCTTTCTCACTCTCTTTTCCAGTCACACACACACACAGTCTAATGAAACAACTGGGCTATTGATCAGCGCCATGAATGTCAGACAGTTCAAAAGTCAAACACACACATGCATGCACACACACGCACTCGCTTGCTTGTCAATCAAACTCCAATAGCCGACACCTTTAAGAAGACAATCTCATTATCTTGCTCTAAAGCTGTGCGCTCACTCTGTGTCTGTGTGTGTTTCTTTGTGAGTGAGTGTGTACATTAGTACAGCTGCTACATATATGCAGCCGGATTTTTTTTTTTCTTCCTGAAAATCTGTGATTACATTTTTCGTCTGTTCATCCCTGCTTCTCCGCCTCTCCTCCTCCGGTGTTCACTTTGCCACTTCAAATGCACAATACAGCTTCTCGGTGTCTTTTTATTCATTTTTTTCAAGTCTCCTTCTGGTTCTTTCATCCTTACTTAACATTTTTTTTATCTTTTTGCCCCCCCCCCGTTAGATGAAAAGGTGGAATTACTAACCTTGTTTTCCAGATCACTCCATCGCGACTCCTGGAACCGTCACATCTCCCTGTCTACGCGGCTCTCTCTCTATCTCAGCTCCGTGGAAAAACACCCATCTCTCTCTCTCTCTCTCTCTCTCTTTCTCTCTCTCTCTCTCCCTCTCTATCGCGCACTGTCTATCCCCCTCACTCGGTCTCGACAGCTGCAGCGCTCTGTCTGCCTCCTCTGTCGCTCTTCCGTCAGGCTGTAGGCTGATTGAATTTTAAGTCATGTTAATCCCACAGAACAGGTACTGAATGAAGGAGGGGACACTGCAAAAAAGAAGGGAGGGAGAGGGAGAGAGCAAAAATAGCAGAATGCAGGGAGTAAGCTGCTTTGTATTTTTAGAAATCTCCTCTCTCCTTCAGGGTGGTTTTCTCCAGTTTCTTTTTCCCCCCTTCACTTGTCCTGACTCCACCTAGTCACTTCCCTTCATCTATCCATTGTATCCTCTTGCTTTTCCCTTGATTCTTTTGGCTTTCTTTGTCCTTATCTCGTGGAGAAGAGTGTGTGATCTGGCTCCGTCTGTGGCAAAAAACAGACTGAGGGAGAGAGAGAGAGAAAAGAGAGAGACGGAGGGAGTCATGAAGATGAGGAGCCGGAGAGAGAGGGGAGGGGTGGGGGTGGGGGGGGACTGGATGGAGGAGAGAGCTCTTTACTCAAGTATTTTACTTGAGCATTTCCATTTTATACAAATACATAATTACTTACCCTTCGTCAGACTTCCAAACTGAAACATTTGGACCAGTTTTTAAAGATCGATGTCTGCAGTAGGGCCAATTTGGCTTTTGGTTGAATGCCAAAATCAAAGTAGGGAAGGCGCAAAGCGTCGAGAAGCAGACAAAAGCATGGAGTTTTCCCACAGTGGGAACAACTATGGACAGTGGATTTTCCCCTCTCTGGGTTGGAAGTGAGTTACTGCCCCAAGCGAAGGAGTTCAAGTATCTCGGGGTCTGGTTCAGGGGCGGCTGTAAAATGGAGCGGGAGATGGACGGGCCGTTTTGGTCTGGCGCCAGCAGGGATGCAGGACCGTTATGGTTCAAGAGGGAGCTGTGCCGGAAGGCAAAGCTCTCGATTTACCAGTCCATTTAGTCCCGACCCTCACCCATGTTCATGAGCTTTGGGGAGTGACCAAAAATAACTGTCATCGCGGTTACAAGCGGCCAAATGTAGCTTCCTCGGTGGTGTGGCTGGGTTCAGCATTAGTGACGGGGAGAGGAGCTCAGGCATCCAGAGGGGGCTCAGAGTAGAGCCGCTGCTCCTCCACGTCCAAAGGGACCAGTGGAGGTGGTTCAGGCACCTGATCAGGATCCTCCTGATCGCATACCTTTTTATAGATTTTCAGGCACGTCCATCTGGTAAGAGGCACTGGGGGAACAAGCTGGAGAGATTATACGTCTCATCTGGCTTGGGAACGCCTCAGGGTGTCCCCAGAAGGAGCTGGACATTGCTTCAGGAGAGAGGGGTTTCTGGAATCCTCTGCTGAGTCAGCTGTTCCCATGATGGTTATAAGTGGATGGAAATGGATGTGAAAATGAGTTGTGTGAAAAGAGCTTAAGAGAGAAGTGATATATAATAATTTCACCCTCTTTAAGGGGCCATTCTGCATATTGAATACTGCTACTTTCGATGCATGAAGAAAACTTTTGTGGTAATACTTCTTTTTCTTTCACTCTTCAATTCAGACTTTTACTTGTAAGAGTATTCTTACCCTGTGAAATTAGCGCTTTTGATTGAGTAAAGGATCTGAGCACATCTTCACCACAGATGTAGGGTTGGGAGGAGGGGGGGGGGGGGGGGGTTAGGAGCAGAAGGAAGGAGAGATGGAGGAAGGTGGAGGAGATAAAAGTCTGCTGGTATGACAAGGGGAAGCGAAGCTCTCGGTGCCTCGGGCAACTCTGGGTCAGGCCGGGATGAGCGGGGGCGCAAAGACGGTTGATTAAGAAAGGGTGAGCACATGAGTGGTGACGTGTGAGGAACGGGAGGCAGGGGCGAGAGAGAGAGAGGGGAGGCCGAGGATCTCTGGGGCGTGAGGGAGATAAGTGAGGAAGAGAGGGGTTAGTGAGGGATAGAGGGGGAGGAGCGGATGGAGTGATAGCACGGTGATGGGGAAAGTGTAGCTGATACAACTTCAAACAGTGTTCGAGCGCTTGATTTCCCCACCGCGCCGATGGCTGCTGGGGAAATAGGCGTTAAATGGAAAGCGAGTGCGTGTGCGTGTGCCCCGCGATCCGAGGCAGAACCTCAAACGTCGGAGATATTGGGTGTTGGAATTAGGTCGTTTTCCTACATTCACATACGTGCGGGTCCATTTCGTCAACACAATCACACACCAGAAAGAAAGAAGAGAGGGCAGGGATTTGGTTGTGTTATGGATGGATTGGTTTTTCCATGTGTCACAATTTCCACCCAGCAGTTCATTTTTGTCCTTCTATCACCTCTTGATCTTCTAAATATTTCTCAATCTGTGCCTCCCCCTCCCTATTCATCTCTCCCTGAAGCATTTACCTCTCATCCCACTGTCACGCATCGCAGTGCATCTTCTTGAATTTATTTTTCATCCCTTTGCTTTCTCCCTCTTTACCCCCCTGCTGTTGGCCAGCGTATCTTTTAACCTATAGGCCAGACCTCCCTAAAAGCAAGGTCCAGTAAAGAGAAGTCTGATGTATCATTTGGCCCAAACGTATCCCGTTAACGGAGCGCGGCTTAAACGGATCGTTGCTTCACGATTAATCAAACGTCTACTGGTTTGGCACCAAGTCCTCTCGTCGGTGAGAGTGACCTTGCTGAATGAAATAAACTAAACGTGACCTACTGCTTGGTGATGGATGGAGTGAGTTCACCAGTCAGGAGAAAATGTCATCACTGACTTGCTCCTTCAAGGAGTGTGTCCAGCCACTTTAATTCAGGGCAACTCCTAATAGGTTTACCGGCAGATATGATTACATTTAGATACATTAAACAACCGTGTCAAGGATTTTGTGTCCTCAGAAAACATTTCCTGTGATCACAGATCAGTCGTGTTGAAGTCGGACAAAGTTAAAACGCTTGGACTGAGAACTAAACAGGGAGACTGGCAGGATCTTTTTTTTTTTCGTTGGTCCTGAGCACTGCTGCCCTTAATCAGAACGAGGGCAGACCCGCTCTGGTTCGGTCAGGCTAAATTAGCCCTCAAAGTGAGAACAGTTGCAGGGGAGTCGGCCTGCTGACCCTGGGCTGAACTAATCCATCGACTTTATTTTCTGCTGCAAATTGGTTCACCGGTCAACTTGCTGGTGGTGTCGGCAAACAAATATTCCTGTGGCTCACTCGGGTGCATGCTGACACTGATTGCTGAATAACAAGCTTTTGATACCACACGGTATCTCAGATGTGCACGTTTGCTCGACATGGTCAAGTATTTGGACATCCACACTTTTTTTTTTTTTTTTGCTCTTTGCTCCGGCACAGTGGAATTGAAATGAAACAATGACCACGCTTTGTGGTTTAAGTGCTGACGTAGAATATGTGCCCAATATATGCTGTAGATGGGGAAAACTCTCAAGCACCCTGAACGCTGAGATTCAGCTATTTAAAGATATCCTTGAGGAGTTTTAGTAACTCCAAGTAGTGCTATGGAGCAGTTTTCCCCCGTTCTGTTTGTCTCGTGAACGTGAACAAGTACCCACGTGCACGCACATTTGCACGCTGGTGACAGTGTTGTCAGATCAGATTGACAGTTTTAGGCCCAATCACAACTTAAAACCCGCCCATTTCCATAAAAAAACCTTGCCAAATGTTGACATAAGCATTGCATCTAACCGCCCAATGCTGTATTCCCCAGCCCAGCTTAGTCGAAAGTACCCCAACTGGGCAGAAACCAGCCCAATCTGGCAGCATCTGGCCGTCTAATTAGTGGTGTTACCCAACTCCACTGATCCACAGGTGGCAGTAACTCAGCCGAGGCAAAGATAAAGAAGACGTGATCAAGTACACGTGGATGTAAACAAAGCAGGATTTGAAATACCTCCATAAATCTTCTTTGTAGATGTTTTATGAGGAAGGAAAATGCATTCGGCACATTTGTTAGGCCTCAGATGTGGAGCTGAAGAAAGTGTCCTTGCCAGCAGCATAAGTGTATGAGAGACAGACGGACATCTGTGCGTTGAGATACAAAAGCGGCCCAAATGAAGCGAGTCTACACCTCTCCTCCATTTAATGTGGAGCCTTTCGGCTGGTTTGCCATCAAGTGAGGACATTTTGTGTGTGTGTGTGTGTGTGTGTGTGTGTGTGTGTGTGTGTGTGTGTATATGAGTCGCATTGGGTTTGTGCGACACGGTGGCTAAACATGAGCACTAGAACACACAAGAACAAACACGCGCTCAGAGGGAGCGCCTGACCTGTGCACACTCGTCAAACATAATCACCGGTGTGTCAAGGGCTTCCATTCACACCCCCCCACCCACACATATCCACTTCACACACACGCGACATACATTCCGCACAATACCTCTGCGAGCGTTGCGTAGCGCGCTCACGCACAGACCGTGATTGAACATACACACACACATGCACTCACTCAAGAGATTGGCAGGAGCACAAGATTACACCCGCAATAACACCACACAAATCAGGTGCACAGCCTGCAGTTAGACGCACACGCCTCTTACAAGGCTAAATGAAACACGCACACATGGTCAGATGTGAAGTCAGGGGTAAATGGTGTGGAGGTTTAGACAGAAGTGCAGGTCCCCCGCTATTTGTCTCAATCTCTGGGCTAATTCGAGACAAGGACAGACGCGCCCAGTCACACCCACACACACACACAACAGCCACACGACCCAGCCTTCTCATTTTGCTCTTGACGCCATTTACATGTTGTTGTGATTTTATTTCTTTCCTCTGCGTCGGTGTTTTCCACAATGACTTCCCACTTACTGCTGGGCCGTTTCCACAGCCGTCGGCAGCAGTCGATGAGGTACGAGGGAAACACGCTCGGCCCCATTTCTCTATATTGCTTTAAGCGTTAATAACTGGACTGCATACGCTCAGACGCACAGTGAAGACACAGGGCCGAAATGACTTAAGCAAACATGCAAGCCAAATGTGTTCCTTTCATGCATTGTGTTCTGCTGGAATATAAAGTGGAAATAACAAACAATGTATAAGAGAAAGCTAATAAAACGTTCTCTTTGTGTGTGTGTGGGGGCTGGTACTTAAACTAATCTATACAGAAATGCAATGGGCTGTGCAGGAGAAAGAAGAAAAAAAAAACATTGTTAAATGTCGAAATAGAAAGCTGGGAGGTGCAAATGAAAAGATTGCAAATTAGATTTTGTTTGTTGATTGTTTCGCCTCATACGAGCGGCACTTTCTTGGCATTAGTTCTGGAAGGATTGCATGAATGTGTGTCTGTGTGTGTATAACAGAAAGAAGCTGTCAGTTCACTGAGGAATTTCCATGCATATAATTATCAGATTATAGCCGATAATCGGCGTGAAGAACTACTCCGATGAACATTCTTTGATGGCTTGCATATTGAACTGCTCCATTAAT